CCCCAAAACCCCAAAACCCCAAAACCCCAAAACCCCTTTGAGTTATTTAAATGTTGAGAAACATAATTAAATATGAATGAAGTGCAGAAAACTCCTAGATCATTCTCTCTTTATCTCTTTGGAGGGTTTATTTCTTTAAATCTACTCTTTTGAACACAAATTATTGGTGTAAAAACTCTTCGGAATGAGTATGCTTTGTTACCCCTTTCTTTATGAATCATTGTCTCAATGCTCAAGCATTTGATGACTGTTGTGTACTCTAAAAGTAAGTTATAGCTTTGGAATTGGCTTTGTTAGTAGTTTTAAACATCTCAGAGAATTTGATATTGCAGAACATATTCATGATCCTGAGGTACTCTTTGTTGAGCTTTGTTGGAAATATTATGCATTTGTTATGGGATTTCTAGATAATTCCACGTTACACGTGTATAGATAAGTTCAGGAGTCCGACAATTCAATATCATATGGCTAGCATTACTTTCAACATATCGGTCTTATTGCTCTTGATTTGTTGTGGGAGGTACTTAGATTTAAGCGCACAACTAACAGAATATCAGACAGATAATAGAAGGAAAGAGAAAGCAGGGTTTATAGAAGAGGGGGATGAAGAATACGACGACCTTGAAGAACAAGTTGCCAAGGAAGTAGCTCAGAGTAGACTCTGGGTTTTTGTAATGGCTTATATGGTAAGAGAGCAAGGTTGGGTAGGAGATTTTATGAGAATTTTGGGTTGTGGGTGGGGTTCATAGGATTTTGGTCATGTCTTAATGCAGATTTATTTGATTGTTGGCTAACTAGACGTAATTTAGGCGATTGTCACTTATTGATTAGTCATTTATGTATTTGGTAAAGTAGAAGAAGAATATTTGATCACTCTTGGACAATCTGGAGAGGAGAGACAGTCTCTGTTTAGCTGGGAAGGAATCAGCTCAGCCATAAGCTCATGGTCAGTGATCTGATCAGGAGGAGCTTGATATAATGTTGGTACAAATGCAATGGGGAGTGTTGGTAGTAGTCTTGGAGCAGGTTTTGCGTATTTAAGCCATCTAATTTTGCCAATTACTATTGTGTTCATTATGATATCTATCTACACTCTGAGAATTCATTCCTGGGCAATTATTGGCAGTGGAGCATTTGGAGGCTTAATCATCATCATTAGCTCTATTCTTGAGCTACATTTTATAATTCTACTAGTTGGTAATGTAATCTTAATAGCCACTTCTTTGGTTGCTTCAAAGAGGAAAAAGAAGAAATCAAAGAAGAGCAAGTAATAATTCAATTTTTGATTAAAAAAATGGGGTTTTGGGGTTTTGGGGTTTTGGGG